ATGCAAAATTCGCCGGTGCAAAATATTCCAAACCATTATTAATGTATTATTAATCGTTTTTCAACGAGCAGTTCGTTTCTTGTCATTGCATATATTAAATTTTTGCCGCGTTATTGTGGTTTTCGGTTATAGCATCGATCGTCGAGCTTTATTCCTCTATATGATAAAATAACGTTTTTTTCATTTTTAAGTGAAGAACACTTCAAAATAATCCGGACGGTCGGGATAGAATCTCAAACATTCGCACAATAAACAAAGCGAGAGTGGTGTTACTGTGTTTGCAGAGCGAAAACACTATTGTAGTTGTCTAAAGTTTGTTTGTATTTATACTAAACCCTTCCTAGTTGTGTACCCTCGTTATGTTACTAGATAGGTACCTACGTAGAGAGTAAAAATCCCAGATTAAACAGACAACTCACTCCCAACAACTGCATTAACTAGTGAAATATTATTCTCCGTATATATATATATATATATATATATATACATAGTACAAACATATATATGTATAATATTAAAGCTCCGCGAGAAGGACCCTCTAATACTACGTTGTGCAAGACAATAGTAATAATAATAATTACTGATACTATGGGTATCTGGGGATCGAGTGGAGTTGAGGTTGAACTTTTGTCCAAACACGTCGAAATCAAGTTTTCTAGAACAACACGACATTATCGAAAATTACTATGGAAACTGCTATTTTTAACTTGTGTTTTGTTTTTATCGGGGTAATAATATCACCGCTATACCTACTATTATTATTATTCCAGTGGTTGTATTACTACCCTATATCTATACAGTGATCGTATCCTGTCCTGTTTTGGGCCCAAACATTAAGTTTTATTTTATAAATTACTTCAAAGATTAAACTGTAGGTAGTGGACCATTTTTAAATTTCCATTTAGTTTGGTAAAATTAACGTTTACACATTTTGTTAGTTATATTTTTTTGCCTTTTCCTCGTTATACGAAAAATCATTATTTTACGAGTATTTCTTTTGAAGGAAAATACTGGTCACTGGTCCGCCATAATTGGATAATCGTCGACATAAAAACTTTACTGGCAAACGAGCAACAGTAAATAGTACACTCGTTGTTAAATATAAATATGTATTTATTGAATGGTTTAAGGCAGTTGCGCATTTGCTGCTAAAATCATAATGACAATATTAACGACCAAAAATCTGATCACTGTATTTATATAATATAAATGTATACGTATATTATCTGTAAAGGATAGCGTACATCAATTGATTCTAAAATGGTTTTGTTATTTCTATAAATATTATTACTTATGATACCAGCAAATTAAAAACTAAACCAAAAATTAAATGTTGGTTAATGTACGAGTATATGGTGCCGGAAGGACGTATACAAAATTTGCAAAATGTGTTGTATCAACTATATATAAAGATGTATTCAAATTAAGTCTAGCCTATGTCGCTTTTTGTCCAAAATGATTTAAAAAATGTAGAACACTTAAGAAAACTTCAAAATTTACCACATTTACGCATTTCCTTCAATTTTTTTGAAGGAATTTTACACAACAAATTTTTAATACTAATTCGTTGGATGTCCTCTAAAAATCACTCTGCTACTCGACTACCACTACTATTACTATTGCTACAATACTACTACTGCTACTACTACTACTACCACTACTACTACTACTACTACTACTACTTCTATAAAAAAAAAGTATTTACTTCATAATTTTCGGATATATCCATGTCTTTGTTGACGCTTCAAGCCCATTGCAGAGTCTATCTTTCCACTGTCGCGACTATACTAATTATACTAGCACATAAACAAAGACATGGATACAAAACGCGTTAAGTTAGTTTTGTGGAAAATAAAAACTTAAAACCCTATTTGTCGAAAATTACGAAAAGTGAAACCTAGCCTTAAATACCCAAGGTACAGATGTAATTAAATAATAAAAACAGTCGGGGCAAAGTCGAGGTCACAGGTCGACAGAATTTATTAAAACTAAGAGTGATAAAATCACTTTCAAATAAACGCTTTGATGCAAATCTGTGGATAGTAAGTTCTTACTTGCCTCAGTTCAAACCAGTACAGTCCAAACCAAGCACAAAATAAACCAGCACAATAAGAAAGTAGGTATGTAAGTGAGGTCCATTTTCCTCAGATACCCATCGAAGCGTTTATATGAAAGTGATTTTTTCATTTTCAGTTATAATAAATCCTGTAGAACTATGACCTACGTTTCCCTACTATATCGGCTTTTTTTGTATTATTTAACGCTCAGGTTCGATTACATTATATTCGTGTTACCAGTACTTGCGCAGTAAAATACACGAATCATAGGCTAACACAAAATAATAATTTATTTAAAAAAATTAATTTTAATTGTTAATCGAATATGATTGGTAAACTTGATGTGGTACAAACAAATATCATATTTAGCTTACATAAAACAATTTTTGTATGTGTTTTTCACTGTTCTGCGTAATATTTTTTTATCAGTATTCAATTGGCAACTTCAAATAAATCTTAGTTTAAACTAAACTAGTTTTGTGTGTACTGATAGTCTTAAACGTATGCTAGATTTTTTCTTCTTTTACTCTATACTTATGTTTATCCTATTCACATTTCCAGATTTATTTACTGCTTTTACACATTTAAAAAAAAAATTGTCTGTACTTGATTTTACTATACCTTTTTATTACTGCAATTTTTAATTGCTTTCTGGTGATTCAAAAAATTGATATTTTAGATAACATTTAAAGCATAAAATATGTAGGTATGATCACCGGTTTAGTTAGTTGTGTACTTAACAACACGGTACAATACTTAGTAAAATGTGTATCATATATATATATATAATGCTTTCAACGATAGCGTCCCATAATGTATGATGCGTTTACATTTTTTGTTTTTACTTTATGAACATTATTTTTGTTTCTAGAAATAATTGAAATGTTATAAAGCGGCGAGCCGCTGTGTGTAAAAAGCACAAAATATGTATTCATTAAAAACGATCAAAGCTGGTAAACGTACTGACAACGTTTCACAGCATAATTATTTTATATGTTGGCGAATTGCGTTAATTACTAACCGCGGATTCGTGCCGAATGCCGGTTTAACATAATCCTGTGGGCGACTGCTTTAAATTTTGCTCGTGGCTTCGCGTTTTGGGCTTTACGTTGAAATTGGTGAGCTCTCTAATTGGAACAGGTAATCAAACCCTTGCACGGCGCGTCTCTGCCGGAATACTAATAGAATATAGTTAATACGCAACGATAATAATATAATTGTCAGTAGCTGGAGTTAAATCGAGTTTCGCCGAAGTTGTGTGATCCAGTGTCTAGATTTCCATTTACCAGAACACAATGGCCGGGCCCGGGGGAGTTGTGCTGCTGCGTCTAATGATTATTATTCATGGAAAATGGCAAATGCGGATTCAAAGAACTTTGAAACAAATTATATCGTGTAATGTTGCATATACACAGCCGAAACGTTGGCAGTTTAATTGCCTACGATAAAAATATATTGTACAACAAAATCGACCTCGAATATTTTGAATCCGAAAAAGTTTATTTTTATATTTTAAAATGATAGTTTCAAGTTCGGTATTTTGCATTTTTTTTTTTGCTAGAAATAAACACGGCGGTCGTGTTGGGCTGTGTATTTATAAAAGTGCCGACTGCTGAATAATATTTAACTACTATACATTTAAACATTTGTTTTGCATTGTATTTGTGTACTATAGCTTTGTATTAGCTTTGTTTTTTAGGTCGGTTACAGTCTGTCTTGTAGTTAAATTAAATTCACTATTATCGATGTACTTTGAAAATAGTTAAGTTTAGATTTTCAATAATAACATCAACAATATTGTCATAAATAAAATTTTGCAATTCAGTATAATACAACAAATACAAACGTAATAAACCAATCATTATAAATTATAATATAGTTACTATTTTCATTTCGAGAATGAATTAATTGAATAATTTTAGAAGCAAAAATAAAATGTCCAATATTAAACTTGATTTATAATAGGTAGTTTCAAAACGAAAACTATGAACATTCGTCATTCTAGATAGCTGAAACAAAAGTAAAAAACGCCTTACTTTATTTTAATTAAAAATATAATGAAAATTATATTATTTTAACCCTAAACTTGACAGAAATAAAAAAATCCACACAAAAACTCCTAGCCAGGTTTTTCAACTAATCAAGACCCGTATATTACATTTTTTACGTTTCTTTTAATGAGCAGTTTTTAATTATGGCGTGTAACATTAAAGATACACTACGTCACTCCCCATAGAATAATTTAATAATTGTGTCTTTAAAGATACATTACCACATTATAGCTAATTTGCTGTTCGTAACTACCTCATTAATCTATTTAAATGAAATCACAAAAACACAAATCACAATTTTAATAAGTGTTTTATGATTTACGGTATTATTCTTTGAACTAAATGTATGAGTATGGTTATTTGTAATAAAAAAAAACTGTTTTTAGGAACTTTCTTACCAAGTTAAAAACGAACCTGCATTTAAAAAATAGGCATTTTATTTGCCGTAATTAAATAATAAACACCTATTAGAACAAAAAAAAATTATCTAATTATTATTTATTATGTTTATAAAATTTTAAGTATTATTTTATTAATTTATAGTATTACTATTAGGGCATTGTATCTTTTTGGATACAACATATTTTCGGTATACGAAGTATAATATTTTTTAGGATACATGCGATTTTATACTTAAAACTAAATAAGTGATTGGCTTTATTTTAATATTAATAAAATTCCAACAGCTAAATTAAATATATATTGGCTTTAAATTGGAAATAAAATCTGTTAAAAATCAACTCGAAAAAAATCATATGATAGCTGATAATATTGTTTTTGAAACGACATGACAAATAGAGAAAGATACAAAGACATATATATGTATACATAAATATAATATACAAAGATACATCTCCAAGTTAAGGGTTAATTGATTTTTATTTATTTTTAGGTGGATTTAGAACCTCAAGGCAAATTACATCTTCGCATCGATTTAAAATGGAATTCAAAAGGTAAGATAAAACATGTTAATCGGTATAAATCAATATTGCTGGTAATAGCTAACAAAACTGTTGTATGAAAAAATTAAATATAATATTAAAAACTACTAATATTTCAGATATTCCTACTCGGCCATCAGAATTCAAGGAGCGTCAGGGATTGCTAAATCGAAGGCGTGGAGCTATGAGGCGAAGAGTTCATCAAGTAAACGGACACAAATTTATGGCTACATTCCTGAGGCAACCCACATTTTGTTCACATTGTCGGAATTTCATATGGTGATTATAAATCGTTTTTAATTTTTAGTTATTTCAATTCCCAATCACAATTATTTTATTTTGTCTTTTACGTTTAAAATATTAATTTTGAGTGCAATGTCTATTTTCTAGGGGATTTGGAAAGCAAGGCTATCAATGTCAAGGTAAAGATTAAATACAAATCCACTCTTAAATATTATTTAAAATATGATACCTGTTTGTCGGTTAATAAGATTACGGAAAAGGAACATGTAATACCAGTAGGGTATATTAGATCAGTAAATAGGTCAGTTAATTAATTAATCATTCCTAGTATTTTACGAATCTAAACCAGGTGCTCATTTATATTAAAAGTATTGAGCGGCTGTAGAAATTACCAAGTATATTAACATATTAAGAGAACGTTGCTAGCATTTAAACATACACAGAATATGTTTTACTTGCTCCTTGATCATTTTAAAATGATTCATAATAAGATTTCACTTATAGATTCATTAATATTTCCAAAATATATATATATCCATAATATATTGATATCTTATAGTTTTGATATTCATTTTATAGATTTTGTCTTAACTCTTAATTTTTCAGAATTTTCATGTTTTTTGGGTAGTGTACCGATCAGTGATCACTAAGTAACATTCTGCTAACCAGTCAAGCACCACCAAAAATTTATTTTTTCATGTGATTTTTGATTATTTTTTAATCATCTACTTAAAGATTTAAAATAATTTTATGAAATACCAATATTGACATTTCTGAAGTTCCTTTATCCGAATGTAGTAAAACTTTTACTTATACAATAATATAGTTGTTAAATTTCTTCTTGTTGTAGTATGTTTCATAAATATACTATTGAGTTAAGACGTAATACGAAACTATGACAATCCATTTCGTTTTCTTAGTTTTATGGTAAAAATGTATTCTGTGAATTGGTATGAGAATATAACCTTGTTAGTAAAATAAACTTATTTTGTGTTCTTACAGTTTGCACTTGTGTTGTTCACAAGCGCTGTCATATGGAAGTAGTGACAATATGTCCAGGGTTTGGCAAAAAAGAGGTTTGTAATAATAATGCATATGACATATATACAAGATGAATCATTAAGGATAACACACTCATTTTCTTTGTATAATTGAATAATTTTGTGTACAAGAGATAAAAATTTGAATATTGTAAAATAACACTAACTAAAGTGTACTCAAGTGTCTTCTAAAAGAAAACTTGAGTACACTTTAATTTGTGTTATTTTACAATATTCAAATTTTTATCCTATGTATTTTTTCCTGAGCTCTATCAACTTTTAAAACTCCAATTACAATGTGTGTATTTAACTTTTTAAGCTTAGAATTACTTGCTGAAAAAATTGTCTAATCGCTAACCACTTTCCAATGTTTACTTTAAAAGTTACTAAAGTTTAATATTTAGGAGAGGTGGAGTGCAGTAGAGTATTAAGTGCAGATAATATAGATTTAATTATCCAAAACTGGTTATCAACTATTCGACATTTTCAGAAAATTGTTTTTAATTTAAAAAGTTAATAAAATATAGAAGTTTCATTTAAGTTTTAAGAGTTAATAAAGCTCTATCTATAAAATACTAAAAAAGCTAAATATTTATAAATTTTATAAGGTTGTAAAGTAATAAAAACAAAAAAAATTTCAAAAAGACACCTACTCTAGTGCAATTATTTTATGAAAAAAATGAATGTCTTATCGTAATAAATAAAATTTACAAGTACAGATAAATGTATAAAACATTGTATATACAGTTAATATCAAATTTAAATGTTTTTTTTTTTTTGTATTATAGCTAAGTCAAGGAAATCAATCTCAACGATTCAGCGTTAATGTTCCTCATAGATTCAAACCGCACACTTATAAAATATTTACATTTTGTGATCATTGTGGTTCTCTGCTTTATGGTATATATAGGCAAGGTTTACAGTGTGAAGGTCAGTAAATTGTCATTGGTGTGTTTAATAAAAGGAAAGTTATCTTAATTTAATATGATTATATTTATGTGTTTAGTATGTACATTGAATGTGCATAGACGGTGTGTCAAAAATGTAGCAAACAACTGCGGTATTAATCCTCGAGAAATGGCCGATACTTTGCGGAGCTGTGGGTTGAATCTTAGCAAGAATGTGGTATGAAATATTTATTTAAAAAGCAATCATTCGTTAAAATATTTTTCCGACAATATTTATAAATCTTGGTCTGTAATTATCAATTAAAGTGCGTATGTGTTTGCAGGACTGGCCTGCCGGAAATGGTAGCTTTAGCGTAAGCAGTGGAAGTGGTTCCAGCTTACACCGTGATCTCACTCAACAAACCTCAAATATTTTAAACACCATGTCGGACAAGCATTCCTTGCAAGATTCTCACAAACGAAGTGGAGAAAAACCACAGAAAAGTAAAATATATTAATATATAATGTTACATATATTTTGTTTTTTATGCAATAACATAAAATTTAATTTATTTACTATCATTGCAGTGAACCAAAGTTTGAGCTGTTACAATTTGAACAGCAGGAAAATGAGTGTGACAGATTTCACATTCTTAAAAGTATTAGGTAAAGGAAGTTTCGGTAAGGTTATGTTGGCAGAAAAACGAGGCACCGAAGAAGTCTACGCAGTTAAAGTAAAATTACAATTATTACATTTTTTGAATTGAATATGTGTATAATAGTACATTATACTGGGTTATAGGTTTTAAAGAAAGATGTAATAGTACAAGACGATGATGTCGATTGCACGATGACTGAGAAACGAATTTTGGCACTTGCTGCAAAACATCCATTTTTGACAGCATTACATTCTTGTTTTCAGACTAAAGTACATAATCCAAGAAATTTTAGTATTAAACATATTTTATAATAACACTTTAATTTTGAATAATAGGACAGACTGTTTTTCGTAATGGAGTATGTGAATGGCGGTGATCTTATGTTTCAAATACAAAGAGCAAGAAAGTTTGATGAGCCTCGTGCTCGCTTTTATGCCGCAGAAGTGACGCTTGCTTTGCAGTTTCTTCACAAACATGGCGTTGTTTATAGGTAAAATAAAACATTTACTTTTAGGAAAATCCCAGTTACCAGAGCACACTTAAACAAAGTTAATGGCTTTATAAATAAAATAATTTATGTCCAATAGTAAAGTATATTGTATTTTAGAAAAAAATGGATTTTATGTAAGTCGAATTTATGAAAATAAAAATAAAATGTATAGGTAAAAAATATAAAGTACCAATACGAAATTAGAAATCCAATTTTGTTTACAGAAATGTTTAGTTTTTCATCGTTCATTTTCATAAAATGAGGCTATGATTGCAAAACAAGGGCCTAACCCATAAATTAAAATTAATTAGTTAATAAAATTAACCAACTTAATAAATTAAAAATAACTTAAGTACAATTAATGATTTGTTATATACATATATTTATTTAAATTGACGAATTTTATAAATAAATAAAATATAATTTTTTGAAATAATTTTTAATTTATTAAGTTGGTTAATTGTATTAATTGTATATTGTGTTGTGTAACTAATTAATTTTAATTGACGGGTTAGGCAACTTTTGCACTCATAGTCTCAAATATAATATCAGTATTTTGATATAAAAGAAACTTATTTTGTTTTTTAATAGCTTATGATATAGCTGTTGTATATACTAAGCCTTGAAAATATAAATATGATAACACAATGAAGATAAACAATTTTCCTGTATATTCGTTATTGGATTAGTTACACAATTTTAGACGTCTCAAATAAAATTTAAATATTCACATTGTTTTTAGGGACTTGAAATTGGACAATATATTATTGGACAATGAAGGCCATTGCAAACTTGCTGATTTTGGTATGTGCAAAGAAGGAATTGTCGATGGAGTTACTACCACTACATTTTGTGGAACACCTGACTATATTGCCCCTGAGGTAAACTATTTGGAATGATATTTGGTATAAAGTTAATATTTACAATAACACTTACAATTACAGAAGTAAAATATATAAGTATATATTTTACTACTTCTGAATTTTTTGTGTACATTGTGGATAACAAAATATTGTTTTTCTCTTTAAGATTCTTCAAGAACTAAACTATGGTGCAAGTGTTGACTGGTGGGCATTAGGTGTGCTTATGTATGAAATGATGGCCGGACAGCCGCCATTTGAGGCTGACAACGAAGATGATCTCTTTGAATCTATTTTGCATGACGATGTGCTATATCCAGTTTGGCTGAGCAAAGAAGCAGTGTCTATTCTCAAAGGAGTATGTTAAGTTTATTAATATAATGATTTGTATTTAAAAAAATCTATAGCACACGGCCCATTAGGCCACTAGTAGGTTTTTCTTTCGGGCAAGTAACTTTCCAGAGAAAAGAATAGCCACCCTCCCCTTACTTAGGTAGACAACTTTTGGGTGAGTCCAATAACCCATTCTAGGGAAGATAGAGTCGTTTAATGTGACAAAGAAGAAAAGTGTATTATATAATTGATTATATTATATTGTATTCTAGTTTATGACAAAAAATCGCAACAAACGTCTCGGTTGCGTATTGGCTGATGGTTTAGAAGCTGCAATAAGAACCCATCCATTTTTCCGAGAATTGGATTGGGATGCTTTAGAAACACGGCGTGTTAAACCACCTTTTAAACCAAAAATAGTGAGCCACTAACTTATTGTTGAGTAATGAGATTTTAGATTATTAGACTAATTTATTTGATTTTATTTACAATTAGAAAAACAAGAAAGATGCCATGAACTTTGACGCAGAATTTACCAAAGAAGAACCTGTTTTGACACCTGTACCTGTTGATGTAACATTATCAATTAACCAAGAAGAATTTCAAGGATTCTCATTTGTGAATTTTGATTTCAACCCCAGTAAATTTATTTCTTCTTCGACAGATACTTCCTCTAAGTAATAACAAACTATTTTAAGTAAGTGAAAAAAATATTTTTAATTTCAACACACATCATACATCATTATTTATGTTAACAATGGCCAACTTAGGGTATGGGGAGGGGCGGGACAGCTGACCTTAACTATGTTTTAGTTATTTAAGTGTACCTCAGGTACCTCTAAACCCAAACGATGGTGCTTATAGGTAACTAAAATGTATTCGTCTAAGTTATTGAATAAAAAAAAATAGCATTCTAATAAGGGGTTTGACTTGAAATTGTACAGCAAATCAAATTTTAAGAATAATACACTAAAAATAACATTTTTTATAAAAAAAAACTTTTAAAAAAGGCCATTGAGAAAATAAAGGTTGGTGAGATTTGTTTTGAAATATTAAGTTTGTGGTACCATAGGAATGGTATAATAAGAGGGCTTATGGATTTTTAAAATTAAATGAAATTGCCATGCATTGGTCCACTGTTTAGATATTAAAATATTAACCTCAAAAATAAATATAACGGTGTTACATATTATACCGTAGAGATTTGTTACTATTTGTTAGTTAAGGCTAACATATTTTACCGTTATTTTCTGTTTCCAAAAGAAAATAATTTACATTTCTGTAATATTATTATAATATTTTGTTAATGATTACTAATATGACATGTTTAAAATATAAATATTGTTATTAATAATATTATTAATAACAATATTTATATTTTAAACATGTCATATTATCATTGCTAATAATTAACAAAATATACATTCATATTAAACAAATATAAATAATTTCTTTTGGAAATAGAAAGTAATGATACAAAACATTAGCCTTAACGAACCTTCAAATTGTTACAATTCTTGATGGTATAATATTATACAGTTTAATCAAACATAATAACAATTTAGTTATTGTTTTTAGAGCTTACAATCAACAAAATTATCATGTCTGATATGAACTATCTGAAATGAATGGAAGATCGATCATAATAATATATGTGATACATATAGTCACCACATATATTCCTTCAAAAGTTGCCTATTGATGTATATGATTGTGTGTGTGTATAAGATCTTACTTCTAATTTTGCGCTTCACTATTATGTAAAAAAAAGTATATTCTAGTCTAGGATCAATATTATTCACGATTGATCCTATAATATTGTGAATTATTAGTTTAACTTATTACTATACATTTAAAATTGTTTAGAATTTTATCAAAATTCAGAATAACAGTATTATTTTGCATTTTATTAAAACTAGTCACTTTTTTCCATGTTATCGTACAACACATTTAAATGTAATTTATTATTTTGTTAGTGTCTTTTTTGTTTTAATACCGTTTTATATGTTATTTAGTTTTTTTTCACCTTGAACCAATTATTCTAACGTGCATTTATTTTATTGGATTTAATTTATGCAGCAATAGTGAATTATAATTTATTTAGTGTTTAAAATAAAACCACAATATAATCAATAAAACTTATTTACATTGTATGTTGCATATTATGTAAACAAGTCTCAAGTTATTTGACAAACATGTTGTAATCTCCATTTACGTATTTTACAAAGTAAAAGTTAGAAGTTTACAATAAATAATATTGATTTTAATAATATTGGTTAATTGGAAAACATTATATAACAAACAGTTATTACCATATAATGTTAACTATATTTGATCATTTTCTTCATTGGTCTATCTAGATATCATGTATTATTAATTTGACATTGACTAGCTATTTATGTATATACATTATTTTTTAACACTGCAGATTTTGCGTATTACTTTATACAAAAACTCGTTTAATTCAATTCTCGTATTATTCATATTAAAAAATACACATAGTGCTAGTAAAACAACCCAAAAATACATAATTTCAAAAACAGCCAATTATAAATTCTTAAATGTCAACTTCAAGCAAATAATTTTCTGCCATTTAGTGGAAACGTTATTTTTAAAAAGTTTAATGTAATAAAACAAAATTTAATGCACCTCATTCATATTATCTTGAGGTTTTTCTCACAATTAGTATCTGTAAATTATTAATTATAATGGAAAACAATTTATAAATTAGAGACTTGGTTACCTGTATCATTGATTTTTTAAATATACAGTTAAACGGTACTATACATAAGATTGGCGACTGATTTTGTGGGGCATGCTTTATAGTAGGACAGACGATTAACTATGACGAAGGTACCTCTTGCATTCCCTCATAAAATAAGTAGCCGTTTTTGTGTATTGCATCGCCTAAATGTATATTTTAATTTCAATGCCTGTATCAAACAATCATTTTTTTTAGATACATGTATATAATACTTGTTACTAGATTTAAATATTCTATATATATATATATATATATATATTATATTATAGATAGACCATACATTATTGTAAAGTAATTCTGTTAAAGACTAACCATTCAAGAAGTAAAATAAAAATTTTTTTTTTATTGATTGGTTGTTCACGTAGCCCTTAAAAATATTAATTTAATGTGTGTTCAATCAAGTGGCCTTTAGGTATTAATTTTTAGTAAAATATGCAATACATAATGAAGATATGGACCACTTTAGTGAAGTTAGATAGATTATTGTAAAAATATATTTTAGGTTTAGAATTTATCTATTATATAACAACATTAAGAGACCCAAGAAAAGAGAACGTGTATAAAAGTTTAGACATGGTGTCGATACCATTGACAATTACTCTTAATTTAGTTTAAAACATTGACTATGTATAAAAGTGATCAGAAATTTGTGTTACACTTTACATAATATGACCGATATATGTATACTTCCACAATTAAGTTTCTGATCTCTGTGCATTACTTTTACGTTATTTAACAGGGTTTTGTAGATTAACGTAAATATATATACATATACATAAACAGTATCAATAAACTAATACTTCTGAATTTATTGACAAAAATTATGCTGCTGTTTAAGAAATAATATAAAACGTCTAACATGCCCTTCTAATTTAGTTTTTGCAATTGCAAATTTTTAATTATTTATTATATGTATACCTAACTGACTGATCAAATAAAACAAAAAGTTGATTAATTATCTACGAATAACTGAATTAATACATCTGTAAAAGCCATTGACTATTAAAGTAATTTACCTAACATATTTCATGAGAGCGGGGCTCGGTCATTATGTTTTATTTCGAGGAATATTATTGTTGTTATAATCAGTCATTTAAATTATAAAATATTTACTGCATTGCGTGCTTTATTATAACTGTCTTCATTAATGGGTTTTAAAATTAACTAGCTATACAAATTCTTATATAGGTATTCTCCATCTTAAGTCAATCAAATTCATTACTAAATTAAAATTTTCAAACTATGATGATATTTTATGAAATATCTAATAAATTTAATTAAATTTTACAAAATACAAACTTACATTTCATTACGAAATCCTATATATTATAATCAAATAATGTACTGTATTATACTAATGTGCTTAAAATGTAAATGCTTAAAATTAAAAATGTGTTTGTTATGTATTTCATAGATGCCACTTGTACTAAGTGTAGTTACATATATTTATAATTAAACCAAAAAATAAATACTCCGTCTTCTTTAAGTATAAATTTAAATTGTAATTCTTTGCTATAAAACACCAAAAACTATTACATTATAATATTTTCCATGTGCAATGACGGTATATTTAACAGTTAAAAATGTATTTATTTCATTTTTAAGCATGTGGCCTTTACCATTTATGTGTAGCCAACTTAAGTTAATTTAATGGTTAGAATTTAGGCGTTTATATTTTATCGATTGTTATGTTCGACATTGCCAAGATTTTAAATTTACAATATACATATAATGAACTTACGTTAAAAAAATTAACTATGATATTATATATATATACATGAATTTATTAAGAATTTATTGCACTCAAATGACCAGTTATTAACAGTTAGGAAAATTTAGATGCATGTGACACATTATCATTAATTAATAGTACCATTGATTAAGTATACAGATAAACTGTGTTATACACAAAAATGACAACCAATACGGTGACAGATTTTATAAGAGATTTCCGCTGGCAACAGAGGTTTTTACGGTTTTTGCGTATCAGGCCGCTTATCTGTATATTTTTAATTTAAACCACTAATTAACTCAATAAAATATATAAAAATACAAAAAAAAAAAATTTACTATAATGCACTTTTTAGAATATTTAATTAATAATGACTAAATGTTCATAATTCTGTTACTTACATTTTGGGCCTTTTTTTTTAATAATTTAATTTATCTATTACCTATCTGTAATAAAAATTGCTACTTCAATCTCTTCTAAGTCATTTTTTTTTAGAGAACTTATACTTGTAACCTGAATTAATTATTAATTTACCAAATCATTTTATATTTATTCTATTTACTATACAAATATACTAAATATTATAGTTTTTAAGATTCATTTGATTTCTTCAAAATCAAATTGATCAAATTTGTTTAAAAAATAATTTTATTATTATTCTATTTCTTCAAGTTAAGTAAGAGTAATTATACACGTCAAATATACATTAAGTACAACTGCCTAGTCACATTGTCATCACCAAGGTACTTTTTAATTGTTTCTTATACTTGTATTAATTAATGATAACCTATATATTATGTTGTGTTTATTTGGAATATTTATGTTTGTTTGTTTTTTTTCTGTTCAGTATTATTATTTATTTTTATAACAAAAATGTATTTGGAAATGATTATTTTTTTTTAAGTTTTTAAAGAAATTTTCTTTAAGTTAACATTATTTGTTAATTATAAAAATCATATTATAATGATTAATACTAATGATACATTTATGTATTGTTTAAACGTGTTGTTGAGTTTTGTTTTTTAATGGTATTATGTTATATTTTTGTGCCAAACAGTGTTTTTAAATTAATTTAATAACTTTCTTACAGTAAGAAAACCAATTTTTTTTTTATTAATATTATTTTAATACCTCGCGCTTGTATCACTAATAATTTGTATTAAATTATTTCAAAACAATTAAATAATATACCTAATATTTATAAAAAACAAATTATGTTAGATGTAGCTTACAGTGTAATATGTACTCATTAATCATTATGTTTTTTTTGTTTTTGAATAATATATCAAACAGGTCTTACAATGTTTACAAAGATTGTTCTTATTTCAATGTAACTCATCCACTGAACTGAATACATGAAACATGCCTTAAATAAAAAATGTACCCTTACCTTGAGGGACGCTATTTTTAAAATAGTAAAATGTTCAATTACTTTTAACACTGACTTCTATTTTATCACTTGTTTGTCTTATTTCATACAAATGAAATCAGCCAGCCAATTTCTCTTTATCTATATAAATTTCTTCCCATCACCACTTTTTTTTTTTAATCTACAGATCTTCATGATTTTACTTATGTAATATCAATGTGTAAAGAAAGAGGTTTAGTCTATTTATAATAATAATTCTTCTTTCAGAATACCAAAACCTTAAAGATCTATTTTCTCTCATTTTTCCTACTATTAATGTAGCTTTCAAACAACCTCTTTACTCTTATAAACTCAATCATAATTCTGTTTAATCTAGTCACAACTCTTAAGATGAGATTTCACTAAGTATAGCATTGCATTAAAAAAAGCACAGGACCACTAAATTGAATAAATGGAATTCGTTAAAAACATGATATGTGCTGCTAAGCAAACTGCCTTCTTATTTCTTTATATAATTATTTAATTAATTTTTATTCCAAAACTTTGCTGATTTAATATATGAAATAGAAACGTTTCTTCTATTTGTCTAATTTTACTTATTTTCTAAGCAATTTGATCAACATTTTTACATAATGCCGCCCCGGTAGAACAATGACAAAACTGAAAATTTTGGTAAAATGGACTAAATGCTTCAATGTATTTAGATATAGCGAACGCATAAGGTAGAAAAACGACGTAACTGTAGTTGTAATAATTTCCCTAGCATTCCCATTCCATTAAAATTACGTCCCATAACATTTTAGTAGAAATAATTTGGTTTTTTGGTTCTCCTGTAAAATTGTAATTGCCATTGTTCTACCGGCAATATAGTTTATAAGTTATTATTATTAATATTTCAATAACGGAAAACAGAAAGGTAGCTTATCAAAGCACAGAGCTAATGACAAGCGGCACAGCGTTGCTCCGATTTAGTTTTAGACGCTTCTCTGTTTAGTCCCATATAGTTTACTAGAGGACTATGTTCAATGCTCCGCTAAACTCAATTGGTGGTCACAGAGCTTCAATATTCTCATTTAAGCTACTTCCATTCTCCAACATCTTTCTCATTCAACGCCCAACAATACTCATTTCTACACATCTATGGCATAATGCACTATATCTGTAAAAATAAATGCTCAAACAAAAATCCAAGGAAAAAAGTATTGATTACCTATAGGTAAATAAACAACTACAGTAATCAAAATGGTAGCTTGTTACGTAAATACATTTTAAATATCATTATACTTAACTGTAAGCAATTCGCGAATGTAAGCATGCATTCAATTCAGTGTGCTCACCCGACTCCGTGGATTTTCTTGTAAATACTCTGCTTCTGTTCTTTGGATAAACTTAAAGACCGTTGAACTTGGCATTGACTTTTACAATAATTATGAATGGTAAATTTAATAACAATAAACCATCTATTACTGATTGATAAATACAAATTATAAATGATTCAGCGGACACTGGACAAATCGTAATGTCTAATACCTAAGCATTAACTCAAGTGTTAAGTGTAAACTGTAAACAATAAACAACTGTTATCGATAAAATTATCTTGCTTGCAGTTTACACGGCGTTAAACATGACGTCGGTGAAGATAATATTTAAGCTAATGCAGTGTAGCCACTGAACAGTTGGTAACAATGCTGTGACGCATGGTTTTAATTATTTTTTAAGCGTAATCAATATGGCGATATTATAATACAACATTAATTTTGGCAGAGTTAATTTGTGTAGTTTTTATTTCCCTTGCAAGACTGTTGTAATAAAAACTACAGCTGTTATTTGCAAAATATATAGAACTTTTACTAGTTGATGAGGCGTGCATGTGGTTCCAGCAAACCGACGTAAGAGAGCGGTTTAATTTGACTCAGAAGTGGTCTTTGCACGTGCGCATTCGAATTCGAATTGACAATCAATATTGGGTAATGCAAAGCACAGTTTGTGTATACGTACTACGGTGGCTCTTATTCAAGTAGTTTTTTTGATGTTCGATGGGCGTGACCCCTCTAGATTGGTTACAAATAGTTTATATAAATCCTAGCAATCACGCAACTGCGTATCTCAATAATAACACGTGCTACAAGCCTTCAACTTTTTACTATTTACTAATAAGAGGTTTTTATCAATCATAATGTAGCACAAGTAATAATTACGACTTATGAAAAAAGTATGATTCTTGTATGGTTTTCTTCCTTGCGGTCGCTCCATCCCATGACGGTTTTTAGCACGAGTCAAAAAACAAAAGGCAAGAGTGTAAAGCTAGTATGCGATATCAAATTGTTTTTTTAACAGATTTTCGATTTATAAAAACTTAAAATGGAGAACTCATTATGGTGCTTTAAAAATTAAATTCATCAAATTAGCGAGAAATTGTTGTATAAATCTACTTTACCGGACACCCTTTTTTTTCGATTTTTATTTTAATCGATAGTATTTTGCACGCTGTTTACGAATATGTAAAGATTTTGCGCCGCTCGCACTTAGTTAGGAGGTTATGGTCTTTTAAAGATCGCCGATGTCGACATACGCGTGCGCCCGGTGGGTACTTCGTCCGTCGATCGCCGCTCGATTATGATCGGATTCCTCGTCTACCTGCCTCCGTTCGTGGTCCTTTTTTTTCCGGACACGTGACATGGTTCTTAGAGCCGTTTTAAACCGACTCATTTTAAACTGTGATCTCCTCCTAGACTGTAGCCTTCAAACCTAGGATATTTTTAGTTTAGCGGAGCCAAGCCACGGCGCCACTGAGCGTGACACACGGTGACTTGCCGTACGCGCCATAGCTGTGACCAACGAATAAAGTACCCAGCGGGCGCGGGTAGACGTGCGGTGCCGGGCGCGCGCGTATGTCGATATCGGCGATCTTTAAAAGTCCGTAACTTCCAAACTAAGCGCGAGCTGCGCAATTCGTAGTCAGCGTGCAAAATACAATGGATTAAAAAAAATCGAAAAAGAAAGGGTGTCCGGTAAAGTCGATTTGTTCCATATTTTGACAATTTATATAAAGAAGGATCATTTTTTACAGAAACTAGAGTTCTATACTGAGTTTTGAAATGAGCATTTCAAAATGTTCTAGATCTAAGGTATTTGAAATAATTTTTTTTAAAAACCAATATTAACAAATAGTAATCCTTTCTCGTTCACTTATGGTAATAATTAAAAGCTAACCGGTCATCCGGTGGACGTAATTATGGCCAAACCCAAAAAATCAAATTTTATACTAATTAAACACAATTTTATAATTAAAAAAAATGGTTAAAATTACCATGGACTTAGAGCATCTTAAAAAACTCATTTTGGTTCGCCGCATCAAACAGGTTACTCTGTTATGTTAGGCGATTATTAGACTTGATGCATCGGTTCATAATTACAATCTGGATTTTATATATTCTACACATTTATTATCATTTAGCCAATCCACATTTTAAACGTTTTTCGCAGGTACTTCAATTAAGTAATAATGCGTAGGTAGGATTGGATTAAATATTTTTCAGAATGTTATTAGTCATACATTTTATAAGACTGTCACCAACACTTATTAATTATACAAGTTTTTTAGCTTCGATGCGTTGTTTACAATGATGTTTTTTTTTTTTTTTTTTTTAATTTTATTGATCATTTTACATATTTCGCTGTAATTGTCATTTTCTATAGCATCAATCATTCTTAAAATTTGTGTCCTTAAACTTAGGTTTACCGGTCCAATTTAAACCATGGCATATCTTTTTTCACTCGCGGGTTATTTTTAATAACTGTATCAACAAACCGTTTTTCGGCTTTTAATATTCGTGTACACTCATTGTATAGCCACTCGATTTCTTGGTTTGCATAACTTATTATTTGCGTACAGTTTAAATTGGTGAGACTAACATTATCTCCATACTCCATAGTCATAGGACACTTTGTTTGTACTCGCTTTTTTCATGAAGTCAGAAGTTTGTACTTCATACAATTGTATGTTCTGCGATTGAGCCCTTTATGGGCATTTACATCAGTAAATAATTATATCTATTGTAAGGCTATAACATAACATACAATTTTCTCAAAAATCTAATCACACATTTTTTATTTTGAAAAAAAAACAAAAATGGAAAAATCACACACGTGCCGTAATACATTTCTAGGTTTTTACATGTGAATAAATCAACTAATAAGTTTTTCAATATTATTTTTACATTATTGTTTATTAAGATATTGCCTATCGGTACAATGGCCACTGTGGAATGTGGTGGTTTTTTTCCTTCGTTGAATTATAACGAAATTGTTATTTTAATGACTTAAATGGCGGGGAAGTGGGAGGAAGCGGTCGGTAGGACAGTATTGTACGTGAATACTTCTGAACTATTTTTTGTAATAATATTTACCCATAAGCAATAAAGTTATACAAGTATAGGCGTTTGTTATTTTGGTTTCTATGGCAGACAAACAAAAAAGCCATTTGTGCATAATATCTGTGTTCGTGTGAGCCGCATTGATAAAACTTTGCAGATAAGAAGCCGGTATAGACCTGTTTAATATTAGTTATTACTATTATAGTTTAGTGTTGTGTGTTGTTAGTTCATAGTTTTTATTTCTTATTAGTTTTGTTGTAGTAGGTAGGCAGCCTATTCGTATTTCATATTATTGGTTATTATACATATTGTTATTATAACTACCTATTCTACTTTGTAGTGACTAGTCTCTCAATGGTCGTTTTTAAAATGATTGTTTTTCATAATTTTGTTGGTCTCCAGTGTGCTAGTAAAGCTGTAGCCAAAAATTATATTAAGGATATATTTTTGTAAGTTTTGTAAATTAGTCAAACAAGATATCATATGAAATTCTAAGTCTTTCATTTACATGGATATTATTCAACCATCGAATAAGTCATGATGAGTTTATAAGACAATACGTTACACACTACTGTCTACTGCTCAAACTAGTTACTATAATTTTTAAAATGGAAATGCCCCAATTGTTAGAGAGTAAAAATGAGAATGCACAGAACGAGAAGTATATATTCAGATCTTCTAGTGGCAACAACACTTGTATTTTTTATGCGACAGCGTTGGACCACAGATTGGATGTAGTGCCGTGGAAAAAAATAAACTTATCATTTAAGTTGTTGAACGTTGATTCAAAACTGGTAGTGACATTACTAGCAAACCATGGATTTCGTGAGGTAAGCTATTTCTAAGTCTTGTAGAATATTTTTAGTTTATTGGATTAATTATCATCTTATATTTTGAGAAATAAGTGGCTAATGTGTTAAGATAATTGTAAATTAGTCTGTAGAACTCATATAATGTGATAAATACTTAGTCGATTTGGTAAAATGTTTCAAAGAATACTATATTCTACATTTATTTATTACAAACAATACCTACACAGTACACACAAATATACACAATACCTAATAAAATGTATGTGCTCCTTACAAACTTTAAGTGTAATAGGTTAAAAAATGAATTACATCTTCAATTTGTTAAAAAACAAATAATATTACCATCCTTTAAAAATAAAATATAATTCTAGAATGCGTCTGGATCTTTCAAGATAATTAAAGAACTTATTAAAGAATTAATAATAGCAACTTTACATTTACGAATTTGATTTTAAAATATTGACATAGGTAATTAAAAAGTTGGTGTTTTCCTTTATTTTTAAAATATCAAATTGAAAACTATTTTAATGTGCCTATAGGCCATAGTTTATGTTATATACATAATTTCAATGATATTTCAAAATAATTATAAAAATTAAAAGTAACTTAAATCTATATTAATTGCAATTCATGTTCGACAAATGAAGAGATAATACTTTTAAGATGTACATTATAAATTATGATTAATGGACACATGAACTTTAAAAGATTTTGTTGAAAAATATCCGCTATATAGAATATATGCTTTGCTGCAAAAATGTGTAAGTAAATATGGTTTCAATGATATTATCTATGTAGATGTGTTTTTTTTTAAACCTGGCATTACTAAAAATTAAAATAGTTAAACCCTTGAATTTTGTTTAATCAATATTTATTGATTAAACATTAACAAAACAACTCCATGACAAGAAACCCATTGTAAAAACCTTTTCTCTTGCCATTCACCAATGTAAAGAAAAATGATAAAAAAATATATTTGGCTTGCAATTTGTATTTGTTTACCAAATCCATATACATATAAATAAATGTTTGTCTGTTTGTCTTTTATGCATTAGTACACCGTTCATCCGATCGCCATGAAACTTTGGGAAGTTGTTAAGTCCACTCTCGTGAACCTAACTGACATAGTACTTTTCGAAAATTCCACCCCTAAGGATGACCTCAAACACGAACTTTGTACTTTAAATACGAAGTGTAAATAAATTAAATGTTTGCAACCATGGTACATAACCACGGTACTCGAGCAAATGGTAGGTGATGATTAAAGGAACAGGCCGATTCTATGCACCACGATTCTGGGCAAGCTTTTAACTATTGGAACGGGATCTGGGACCGGGACTGGGACCCTTGAGTAAGAGGAGGACATAATAACCGAAAAAAGTGTCACAAAAACGCTGTCACGCTGTTATCTGATAAGAGATCAGAGATGAGGGATGGGGTGGAGATGGGGATGAAGGTGGGTATGGGGATAGGGATGAAGGTAGGAATGGGGGAATGGGAATTATTTTTTTGTTCAGCCCTGGCAGACTAAATCTCGGGCAACGCCGGGTCCGGACAGCTTGTTTAAAATAAGGGAAAGCGGTTCTTACAAAATTCTTGTTTGATTGGTAAATAAAATGTTTCTGTTACACTTTATAAACAATTTGTACAAAAATCATTATCATAACTATTATGATAGGCTAGAAAACATGTTGAATGTGCTTTTGGCATTTTAGCTAACAAATGGGGGTCGTACATGCTACATACAGTTATAACATAACTTATATTAGTGCGGACACAGTACAGACATAACAGACGACATTAGAAAAACCAACTGTATTCATCATAATTTTTCGTAATGGAATGGACACCGTTTTGTAAATACTCTAACAATTTAGACGAATATCAAAAGATTCAAAACAAAGCTGCTATAGCTCGCAAGAAGGGTTCTTTGTTTATTTGTTCGCGATTCATACGCCAATTATTTTTAATCGAATGCTGGATTAGTTATATTTGAAAATCGTTTCCTTCAATAGTTCAATGTATACTCTCTTATATAATATATTACCTTGTATCACATTACTGTATTACAAAATTATAACTATTATCATATTTTATTATTTCATATAATTATTATTCATATTAATAGTAAAATAAAAAGTATGTTGACTCGATTTTTTTTTTAAATTCACACGTTCTATTTTCAAATTGCATCTTGTCGAAAAATTGCAATATAGTAATAGTAGTACTATTAATAATATATTATAAAATCAATGATAAATAATAAATTGGCTAAATGATGAATAATATATAACTAAGTAGTGATTAATAATATAATAATTTAAAGGAATATGGTCAGGCTTTGTATGAAAATTAGTAAAAAAAAAATTACTAAATGCTTGTTCTTTAAATTTCATAGTTAATACTAATTGAAGGGCACAGAGGAAGAAGGGTAGTAGGTCCATATATGAAAATTTTAGAGTATAGCAAAAACAAAGTTCGTGAATTCCTCTCCCTCTTACATAAGAACAAAAAAATTAAGTATTATTCTAAATGTATTTATTTAAACAATCTATTGACATAAATAAAAAAAAATAATGGAATATATTGAAAAAAAAATTTCATAAATGGACTAGTGACTACCCCCTGTGCCCTTCAATTATTTTAAAAATAATTTAATTAACAACTTTTTAGAAATATTATAACTATTTTATATAATTCAGATTTTATATATAAAACGATAATAATAAAAAGCCAACCCAGTAGGGTCGGAAATATGGGGGCAGAGCTTAGTCATAGGTTTATGTAGGTAGTCAAACCGTTAAAAAAACGATTCAATGCGAACAGTGCCGGATCTAGGGGGGGGCAAGTGGGTACCCTTGCCCCGGGCGCTGTTGGTATAAGGGCGCTCTTAAGTATATGAAAAATAAAAAAAAAGCCATAATAAATAAATAAAATATGTATAAATTATAAAATATTTCCAAACATCTATCAAGAAAAAGTAATATTATTACTATTAATACTATAATATTATTATTATTCGTATATATTTATCTTTTGTTTATATTTTTGTCCGGTGTTGACGTCTTTTATAGTTGTCCAGTCTTTATCAGTCTATTTGTTTTCGGAGAAAACCCAACCTGACGATCGACGATAAATGTTTATTGTATATTCTTTGTTAAAAAAAAGTACCTACGATAATATTTTTAACGTTCATTTGTTCCTGACGAGCAGCCCACAGTCGTCTCACATATTTTTTTATTATAACATTTATTACACGTTTACACCTAAAAACAAATAATGAGTTCAAAGAAAAAGCTTAGTGGGGCTGAAAATCGAAAACGAAAACAAGAAATTGAAAAAAATGTTCAAAAATTACCAAAAATCGTAAATTTCTTTACAAAAACAGAAACCTGTGGTAAGCAATTTTAACACCTGTCAAATTAAATTATATATTTATATTTAACTTTCATCCGGGCGCGCCCCTTTCCGTAACACTCGCGGGCGCGCGGCGGTAACTTACCGCCTCTCTGTTGTAGTAAAATTTTCAATATCGTTGTAGGATACATTTAGTATTGAATTATGGTAAATAAATATAATATACCTACAAAAAATAAAAATTTAGAAAAAAAAAAAATGTAAATAAAAAAAAAATAATACCATAAACGGGCGCGTCCTGATGGTAATTTACCGCTTAATTGTAGGTTAGTTCGACTTGGTACGTTTTACATTTACTTTAGACAAGTCACCATGAAACTTTAGCTAGTATGACACTATCACCTAGTGTCATATTATGTCATTTGAGAATACAAACCTCTCCCGTCTTCCTCATCGTGCTTAATTTATTCCTGCGCGCGTTTTTATGAATGGAGCGGTAATCTACCGCCCGCGCTCCCGGATGAAGGTTGTGTAATACATTTAATCAGGATTGAGATGTTTAAAATTTTTGTTTTGAACTTTTATTTAAAACATGTTTCAAACATCTAAATTGAATTGAATTCTAATTTTTTGTAACTATAAATTAATTTTTATTGCTTAATAAACAAATTTATAAAATTTAGTATTGAATATTAAATAATGAAAACATTTCATAAAAATCATTCACATTTTAGACTTAAGTAGGTATTTTTAATTTTACTAATTTGAATTATAAATATTGTTTATAAGTATTGTTTAGTCAAAACAGCTAATACAAGCTTAAAACATAAAAACTAATCAAAGGTCATATGTACAATCCAAAAAATGTATATATTGTAGTACCTTAACTCTGTGTTCATAAAACAATTGAATTAATGAATCTAATTACTGAATATGAATTAGTTAATATAAATTTAGTTAATTTATCACAAACATACCTTTCTTTACTTACCTTTAATTTATAGAACTGGTTCCTTCAAACGCTGAAAGTTCATCAACTATTATAGCCGAAGAAAAAAATACAAAAAATGTTATTTCTACAGAGCCTGCGCATAGTGATGTGGAGTATGATATAGCTATAGATGTGATTAAAAACAGTTGCGATAAAGTAGACACCATAAACTTAAATTTTGCTGATCTTGGTACATGGCCTCTAAATATTACAGATACACAAAGAACATATTTAGTGAAAATGAGGTACAATTATACTGAAATTCATGATTTTAGTAATTCGGAAAGAGACGGTAGAAATGTTAATTCCGACTGGTTTTTTAAGATACTTTTGAATGGAAAAAAATTAAAAAGGACATGGCTCAGCTATTCTTCTTATAAAAATGCACTTTTTTGTGTACCTTGTAAATTGTTTACTAAAATCGAAAACTCATCTAACGTATCGAAATTAGCATACACTGGCTTAACTAATTGGAAAAAAGTTACCGAAAAAATTCCATTACATGAAAATTCACCAATACATAAAAAAAATGTGTGTTCCTGGACTTCTTTGGAAATTGCATTGAATCAGTGTGAGGGTATAGATAAAGAATTGCAACTTTCTATTAGAAAAGAAGAATGTCACTGGAAATCCGTTTTACTGACAATTATAGACATTATAATGCATTTGG